AACTTCTTCGTCTCGCGTCCTATCCGCTACAAGGGAGATTCTCGGGGTATTAAGTATCCATTACACGGCTTCACGTTTCTCCCTATGCAATCTCTCTCTCTCTCTCTCTCTCTCTCTATTTTGCTCTCTCTTTTAAATTTGATTTCTCATTTCCTCCCTAAGGATCTTCAAAGATCCTCATGGAGATCGTCATGGAGGAAGCGGAAGCGGGCGTATTCGGGAAACGGCAAATGTTTCTTCCGAAATGCGGAACAATCGGAGTGTTGGGAAGCCGTGGGAAGGGACCCGATTGAAATCGGTCGCCGCACAGCAAAGAGACTTCTCATTTCCGCGAAGTAAACGCGCCACGATCGCTCCCTTTCCCGCAGGCATGCATTCGGGATGCCGGAAGTTCGCCATTAAATGCCTCATACATTAATACGGTTTTTTTTTTCAACGCAACGAGTACCATACAAAATGTAACACGGCAAAAATGGTAATTATGAAACCCGATGATTTATTCGATCGGTATAAAAGTAACTTTTCGCAAATCTTGGCGCTTACGAAGAATTACTATTATGGTAAATGCGAAACGTTGTATAAAAATCTGTATCTAGAATGTCGATTTTCATTAACGGTCCGAGCGAAAAACGAAAGGTAAGAAATCTCGCAACGCAAATAATAAATAAATATAATGTTCGCAAAGCGCGTATTACTCTTATATAAAAGAAAAAAAAATACTACACACGTACGTACCTGTTAAACTATAAGTAATTCATCGCGCTTTCACCTGTTTCGTTTAGCATTTCCGTTTAAGTTTTTAATATTCAAGCCTACCTGCATCAAAACGTGTAAAACACGCGCGCGCGCGTAATGACAGGCTGTAATCATCAACGGCATGCACGAATGTGTTTCTATTTCTGAAATTCGGTGGCGCACCAGTTTTCACTTTCTTGCGCATCGGGCAACGGATGTCAGGACAAGTATAGAAATCCGCCTCGAAGAGTCGTCCTCGAAGAGGCGCGCAAGAAACGGGGCTGACGACTGACTCTCTCTCTCTCTCTCTCTCCCTCCCCGTCCTACCCTCTTGTCTCCTTTCCGCGTGTTAGGGGCGTATCCGTGGCAGCGTGTCTGGCTGCTACGTATCTTGATTTCCAGCCGGCGCAATCTCTCCTGAGCTAATCGCGATAAGACCGAGGGAAAGAGGAGACCCCGGAGAGCGTGCGCCGTCGGGGGGGGATCCGGGTGAAAGAGGATTCATTTGCAGCGCGCGCTAATTGGCTCGCGATTTCTCTGCGCGAGCGGACCTCACCGCGCCACGGACATTCGTCACGTTTGCAGCCCCGTCACAGTGGGGCCTTTCTGTCTTACCAGTCCCCTCGCCGCCGTGACGCGGAAACAAGGCGACGCACTGTGCGGGTCCATCGCCGAGCAAATCGCCCGTCCGAATTTACGCAGCTTCTTTTCCCCTCCCGCATCTCTCTCGCATCCTCCCCGTTATCGCGCGTTTAATCTCGTCGCGATAATGCCGATGCCGCTACTGAGAAACTTCTTGGGGGATCGGTAGACGACCGTGAATTATTGCGTTAATAATAATCGCGTACGGTTGTCGCGTATATTGATTTGCGGAAAGAAAAATTTCTTTCAACAAGCGGAGATCTTTATAAATAAAAAACAGACAATTACGCGGGGTTATCTCAAGACTGAAAATCAGAGAAATTATCAAGAAATTATTGCGGAAATTGAAAAGAAATTGAAGGAAGAAATAAGGGAATTTTGCAAAACTTTCTGGAAAATATAAAATTTCTGGCTTTAGAAAAAGTTAATATGAATATAACATCGCATCTATGTAATTTTGCAGAATGATACCAGCTTAAGAATTAAAAATGCAAGTGTTAGCAATATTAATAGTAATTTACATTGCTATATTAAATTAATCTCTCAACAAAATATTTAACAGCTTCCAATACAAAAAAACGATTGAAATATATTATTGAAAGTCAGAGAAAATCATGAAATTTTCTCTGGAAATCAGGGAAAAGTTATGGAATTTTAGGAATTTGTGATAACGCTGTAATAATTAATACTTAAGGCAATCACGATAAGCGCGTAAAAAATATGAAAATTTACCATTAAATTCCTCAGATATTAAAATACCCAATACATATTAAAATGTATAAATGACATGGAAAAAATTGTAAAAGTAATATGAAATGAAACCTGAAGGTTTTTGAACCTGCAAAAATCGTTTTTTAAGAATCTTTGCATTTGAAAATATTAGAGAAAAGCCCTTTATTATGAGATAGGCGCCTAATATGAGATAGCGGCGTTTCTGTTAAAGTAATAAACTACGCTATCTATTGGTTTCATGAATTTATTGTTCTTGGATTGAAAACTATTTAACTCTTTAGTCGAAAAATTCATCATTAGATCAGTGTAGTCATTGTGAAAAAAGATTTTAGAATTTGGATGTCTTCAAGTTTCATTGAGATGAGCCTTTAAATCTTGCGTATTACTTAATACGTAAATATATGACAATAAATTCTTCATGTAATGATAGAGTAAGATCGTACTAATAGAAAAATACGTGATGTGTTAAATTGTTTAATTACAGAAGTTAGATTTGGTGATCGTAAGGCGTAGAAATCGTAATATGAGCTCTCTAGAGTATTTTAATATTGTACAATAATAAGAAGAACAACCGAAATGAATATGTCGAGTGCCTATTTCTGCAATACTTGGTTCGAACTACTTGAAAACGAGTTCCTGCTAGAATTCATCGCTTGCTCATTTTTCGCGCACGCTGGCTGCTGTTTGTTTGTATATTAGAAACATTAAATCAAGTTTTTTAATCGCAACACTGGTATACTTTGCATCTTACTATCGATTTCTCGAGGTATCTCATATTAGAAGCACGATTTTTTGACTTTGTGATTTGCTCACTTTTTACA